TTACAATGGAAAAAAAAGATACGAGTGTTCTCTACTTATTTTCTCATAAATCTTTTAAGAACAAAACCAAATAGTTTCTGTTGGCCTTTGACACTTTTATTGGATCAGTAACAATTGTTTGTGTCTCAAATGAAGTAGCTGAACTTCTAACACTTACATTAAAAAGTACACCCTCCATTTCAGCATAAATGTTAACACAGTTTAACAGCACAGTGCCATGAAGAAATGAACTTTCAGAAAAAAAAATCCACAGCTTATTTTGGTGGGGAAATAGTCCTGGAAATAATGTGATGCCAAGTTTCTGATCATTTAACATGTCACTCACTTCCTTTTTCATCTGAAGTTATAAATCACTTTAATTTTCTAAAACCCACAAAATTTTAAGGAATAAAAGCAAGTAAAACTGCTTTTATTATTTAATAGGACTTCATGGACACAGATATAAATTTATAAAACATACTAGTATGCACACATGCCTCTAAAGTTCATCGACTAAAGAGAGGTCAGTATCTTAGAGCAGTGATTATGATAATTGCAAAAGGAAGTACCGGATACTCATGTTATATACTAAAAGCAAATCTACAAGCATTTGCTAGAGTTCTTCAAGGGACCAGGAAGTCAACTTGGTTTGTGTACTTAACACCTCTACTCTTCATATTACTTTAGATCAAACATTTTCTGATGTTGCTGAACTTCCTATTTTATCTTTCCAGTTTTAGCGAGAGGAAAACAAATGATAAAGATTTTCACTTTCGGAATTTGACTTTAAACACACAAAAAAGGGCAAGTAACACAAAAATAATTAGTACAACACTTTATAAGTTTAATTATTATTTGAAATCTGTTAAAATTAGTATTACGAGTTTTACAGTTTTGTGTTTCCCTTCCATTTCCCATTCTTTGTTAGACGCGAATTACAACACTAATTTTTTTGGGGGGGGATTCATGCCAGCTCATGTGATGATACAGAAAGAGGCTGAGGACTTACCTTAACTCAATACTCAGACTCCTTAAAAGCAACATGCTTGCTTTCTAATCAGAGCAAAATGTTTTAGTAAAGCCATTACGCAAATGATGAGAGGGTAGCTTAAATCCGTATTCTAAAAGTATGTAGACTTGGGAACCACTGCCCTACCGAAATCACTCCAATTCTATGGATTCATTCCTTCGTTTTTCATTATTGCATTGCCAAAAACAAGTCCCATGTTTCCAGCTGTGTTTTCTATAGTACAAATGGTTCTATATAATATATAGCAAAGGGAGAAGAAAAGCTCTCTGAGTTTTAGTCCTAAAAGAAATTAGATAAAAGACTCTATGTGCTTCCATTTCACATGATGTATCTGAAAAACAAAACTAATTTAACTTATTCTATCTCTAGTACAATTTCTACAAGGCCAGATAGAAGATGAACTTTATGTGTGGGTTACTAATATTTCTTCTAACTTCATTGGCAGTTTGTCACCCTCCCTTGCAGGACACTGGCTGCAGACATGCAGAATACCAGAGGCCCTAGTTGAACAGACAACTTGAAATTTCCAGGGATATCAAGTAAGATTCTGCAACTCTTTCGTATAAAAAAAATGAAACCAGCAAACAATTGCTTTATAATAACAATGTATCTAACTAGAGTTTCCTAATACTACTTCAAGGAAAGCAAAGGTATAATTACTCTAAGAATTGCAGTCCAAAGGGAAGTAACATTCTGTAGGTCAGTCAACTCTTATTTCTCTATAACAAGGAAAACTTTGCAAACTTCTTGGTGTAACATGATCTGCTCTTTCTCTCATCAAAACTGGACAACCAAAGTAGAGAGAACTAAAGTCAGTTTTCCTGAAATGATCTGAAGCTATGAGCCAAATTTCTCATAGCCTAGATACTAAATTAGGAACATAAATAAGCATAAAAATCATAGGTCTTTTATGTATATCTGCCACATAGGTCACTTACATTTAAACTCTGTAAGCAGAATATACGAAAGAACCTTCTAAGGAAACTACTACTTAGGGTTAGGATTTAATTATCCAGGTTAAGATTTTCTTGATCCTTAATAGATCTCTTACTATATATAATATAATTTAAAAATAGCTTTAAAGTATGAACAAGGAAAAATGTACTTTCCCTAAGTAGAGGTACTAAAAATATCACCACTGTCCACGAGTGAATAAAGTGGGTAAAGAGGAGAGTTGGGGTTGGTGAGGGAGAGGGTCAGAGTACACCCTATCAAAGTCAAACGCTGACATACTAAAACAGCCTAGCCATGCCTTTTCAGAAAGGTTAAAAATTTGGCTAAATAGCTAACAAGAGAATATCAGACAAACATTGACTTATACTAGACACCAAAAATCATCAGATTTCAATACCATAGATTGAAACTGCAAAGAAAAGAGTTTAGGGCCAAAGTTTGTCATAAGGACCCCATTTCATTCATTAAGTAAGTCCTCTTGGAAGTTCTTTCAATTCTACGGCTCTAAAATCTATAGAATTAACCTATCCTGACCTCTTAAACCATTACTCTGCATATTTGCTATTATTCAGAAAGGAAATGTGAGAAAAACAAAAGCTATCAATATGGATTCTTCTCAATTTAATTCTATGCTTCCAATAAAGCCTGGCCTACGTAAAATTTTACTTCATTATTCTTCTTTCAAGTTTTTAAAGATTCAAGCACAAGGTTGCACAAGCACATGCTGCTTTATCTAGAATTACTGGAATGTTGAAAGATGCCTGACAAAGGTAGAATAATCCAGTAAGAGAAAGAGTCTGTGCTCCTGAAGAGAAAATGGAATCATATTATATCATGCTAAAAATGATTAGCTGAATGTTTCCAGTCATAGCATCATCTATTTGTGGGTTACAGACAAAGCATATTAGAATAACGTTCTCTAGCCAGATGCCACATTACCCCACAAAATTGTTAGACCAGCAAGCTTTCTCCAGATAGCACTGTTTGCAAGCCTCATTCCATCTATCCAGATGATGAAGTTAGTACCAGATTTTAGTCACATTTATGGGATTAAGGTGAAACTTTTGAATTGTCTATCAGTCTATTCTTGTTATAGGTTGATAGAAGGAGTGTTTGCAACATCAATTACTGTAATCGCTGTGAGCCATTAGAACCCAAGAATCACTCAAGGTTGAATCTCAGCAGATTTAGAAAGCTGCCTTGGTTATTAGTAAAATTAAGCAAAGTAGCTCCCTATGTGCCTTGTTTTAATAACACAGACTACTCTTTGATGTTTCTACAGCTCATTCCTGCCTCACTTCTGAAAAGTTGTGCAAGAAAGGGTATCTTAAAATTGGGGACTAAAAAAAAAAACATAGTTCTGCTTCCACTTCCTATCTCCTTTTTAAAATGACTCCTTTTCCCCCTAAAAGGTATTTAAAACTGGAATGGAGTATACGTTAAGAGGAAGGCTACGGCTATCAACCTTTTGCAAATTATTTAATCAGAGGATTCCAAGGTGCTTTTCCAGTAGAATATTTTCTTCCTGTCCACTTTAGTTTGACTGATGTTCTATCTGCTACAGACAAAGAGCTAAGATTACAGAAACAGATGGAATTTAGAATGCAATACAAGCCATGTCAACACACAAATATGAAAGAAATAAAGTGTCATGTAAAAAAATGAAAGGGGAAAAAAAGTCATTGTTCCCCACTTAATTTAGAAAGGGTATTCTGTCACATGGTGCTAGAAAGCCTCAAACCCTGTTCCAAAATTTCATGTTTAAAGGAACTGAAATCTCAGCTTCTAACCTAGGAAACTTATATCCAAAAGAGATTTTTTTAGAAGTCGCGATGTTGAACCCACAAAGTTGCAAGGTAATCTTGGTTGTTTTCATTCTCTTGACACTTAAGACACATCTCCAGTGCCTCTTTTCTTATACATGTCATGTTGCCAGAAGAAAGTTTTAGCAATGGCTAAAACTATTAACACAATCTGTGAAAGTTCTTCCTACACTATTCAAGTATTTCAAAGCCTGAAGCCTACACCCACTTTTATATGGAGAAATGTACACACACTAAAGAGTAAAAAATATAGAACCCTGTCTAATGCTACTACCAAATGGAAGTATAGAGCCAATACTCTCCACTCTCCTCTTGCTATAATGAATTATTTGGTGAAATACTGAATATAAAGAGGAATACTACATTTAAAATTATCTCTGTACACAGAGAATTCTGATTCTGGAAGACCTTACTTGAAGTCATATTCTAAGTAACATGCCCCTGGTTAGAGAAACCTAAACAGATCAATAAAGAAAAAAATTTAATTAGAATTTTACCTGCATTTAATCTACTTTCACCTGTGGCATTCAGTAGATAGCCCTGAAACAATGTTAGAGGTAAAGGGAATAGTCTTTGCTTCTGTTCTTTATCTTGGCCTTTCCAATACTTGGTCTACTATTACAAGATGACTTGCCTGGCTTTGATTACCTTCTGATAAGGATTACACCACTTTTGTAAAGTCATTCTTATAGACTCTCAATCTCTCTTGCTCTCATCTTAAAACTTTTATTCTTTTATTTGATTAAAAAAAACGGCTCTCAAAGAGGAGTTGATTGAATGGCAAAAATAATATACACACATGCATTTATGACATGATACGGAACATATGAAATGGACTGTGACAGTGGGGGAGGAATAAACTTTATTGGCCCAAAGAAAGGATGTGGGAATGAGAAGGAGGGGCTTGGGAAACTAACAAACAAGGGCGGAAAAACTAAAATGGAATGATTTAAGAAGTGCAAATAAACTTTGTAACCTCCACAATTTAGAGATAGTTACGTACAGTGAGATACATGTAGGCTAAAGCTTCACTTTGCCGCTGATGCTACTTGGACCAGTTCTATCATTAGTAAGTCACCAGTTAATTCTGCCAAAGTCAGACAAGGCTCTCTCTGGTTAGTGTAAACAAGGCTTTCCATCCTGGGCTGCAGCCTGACCCGCCAGTGCTCAGAAGGCATGCTTGTGATGAACTCGCACACTTTCCAGTTCCCCACCTCCAATGGCAGCCAGGGTCTCCAGCCTGCTTAAGCGCTCCAGGCTTCTTCCAAGAACTTCTTCTAGTCGACTGCGTAACACCTGGGCCCCTTCCAGTTCCACCTGCAGAGTTCGGTTTCTTTCAGAGCTGATTAAACATGCCACACGGAAGGAAAATGGATTAGCCATCAACTATAAAGAGTCCACATTTGCTTCCAAAGAGCCTTCAGACTTTCTAAAGTAATTGTTTTCCAGGACACAACAGGTGAATGTAGTTTTTGTTGTGGTAGATTTGTGTTCACTGCTGGTAGATTAGCAAGGACTGCTCCTTTTTAAAAAGCTTATCCTTTATGTTAGATTCTGGGCAAATCTCACTAAAGTTGTAGCTCCTAAGAGTTACCTCACATCCCTATAGCCCATGTAAGAGAAATTTCATGGCCAGGCCTGGTAGCTCATTCCTGGAATACCAGCACTTTGAGAGGCTGAGGTGGGAAGCTCGCTTGAGCCCAGGAGTTCGAAATCAGCCTGGGAAATGTAGCAAGACCCTGTCTCCATTAAAAAAAATAAAACAGAGAAAGAAATTTCATTATCTGACTAAGAGCTTTCATTTCTGAAAAACTATAACCCAGGAAAAACTAAACTGAAGCAAGTTTAAGCCAAGCAGAATTGCTATCGGAGATACTTGTTTTCTCATTTGTTCTCAAACTTGACAGTGCTCTGTGAAGGAAGCCAGTTCATAAATACTAAAGACCCAGAGATTCCTTAAAAAGCAACACAACCAAGTGGTCCTATCAAACTTTCCTCTGACTTCACTTTCCTGAGGTAGAAAGAAAACATTTTTAAAACCCAACAATAAATGAGAATAGTAAAAAACTGGAAAAGAGTAAAAGGAGCGAGGAGGGAAGGCAAAATGAAGGGGAAAAAAACGAAGAGAATATAAAATGAACCAGAACAATATAATATATGTGACCAAAGGCCAAGAAGAATAAGAAAGTGTATTCATCATGATAGTTATCAGTGATCCTGGCCATTACAATTATATTTTTACGTAATTATAATATCTTATTCAATGATATTAAATGAATATCGGTGCCCTTTATCGTCTGACTTTTATAACAAACAGCTTTTCACAGGACATGGAGCAGAGAAAGGAAAGAAACATACACTGACTGCTTGACACACGCACAGTGTTTTAGACGCCTAACCTGTCTTCTCATTTAATCTTTGCAACAGTTATGTAAAACAGGCACTATTCCTGACTTCAGATCTTGAAGCTGAGGCCCAGAGCAATCCATACAACAAATGACAAAGTGGATAGCCCCAGTTATTGTCTGTTTTCTTTTTCTCTCCTCTTCAGTATCATAAGAATCTGCACTTAATGAAGAATAAAGGGAATAAAAATAAAAAATAATAAAAGGAATAAATGTTTCTAAAAAGAATAAAAGAAAATAGTCCCCGCTTACCTCTCTGGATGGGCATGGAACTTCACCAGACTGCTGTAGAGCTGTCTCTCTGCTTGTAAGGCCTCATTGAGCCGACTGCGTTCATCTACTAGTCCTTCTAGCATCAGCAGCAACTGAGAGAAGAAGCAACATGAAAATGAAAACGTAAGATATGATCCCACAGTCAATCCTGACAAAAAGAAAACCCACTATCTTACAACTTACTTAAGCTTTTTATGGTATTTTATAGCTTTCAAATCAATGTCCCATCCCATTCACGATCTTTTTTACATTTAAAACCCTATAGGGAGGAATTCAAACGCAGGAGCAAGAAAAAAAAGGAGAGAGAAGTCAGAAGCATAGGAAGGAGGCTAAGAAAAGGGAGCGAGAGGAAAAAAATACAGGCAAAAGGGAAACATATATAACAGGACTTACAAAATAGTATTCTTCATTTACTCAATAAACATTTATGAAGCACCTCCTATGAGACAGGCTCTGTTCTAGGTCCTAGGGGAAAGTTTACTATCTAGTGAGGGAAGAAGACATCTGTCAATCATAGACGGGTGTCGTTGTGAGCTGTAGTAAATGTTATGCAGATAATGACCTATGATAGTGTATAACCAGCAGAGATCTGTTTAAGGTGGAATTAAAAGCCAGATTGGAGAGAGATGAGTAGTTAGTAAAGAGATGATAAAAGAGACAGGAAGTATAGGCAAGAAGGCTTTTTAAAAAGTATGGCATCAAAAAAAGGTTAGACACAGACAACAGGTACAAAGGAATCTGGGGCAGAAGCAGGACTTCTCTCTCTCTCTCTCTCTCTCTCTCTCTCTCTCTCTTCTTTAAGGGAGGGATTTGAACATGGTTAAATGCACGTAGATGAGAAAGACTCCACTGAGAAGGAGATGACTTATGTATGAGAGTGAGGGATAATGGACAGTATGCGTCCAAAAAAACCCTGCTGTTCCTTTCAGAACTACAGATATCAGAAAGGGGTAGTTATAGCTGCTACTGACCAAAGTAGGAAACTTCAGAGCACAGATTCTCTAAGAAATACCACCAACTGCTCCTTCATAAATGGCTGGGATTAACAGGTTTTTCATTGTCATTTCACAGTAAAAAATAAGGTTTGTAGTCCAATAAATTACCTGTTGTCTTCGGTTTCCTGAAATTTCTTGACCCTGGGATTCTATTGAAGCAATTTTTTCCCGAAGCAGTAAGACTTCTTGGGTCAGGCGTTCCATAGCTGGTATGTCTTCAGGATCAACTAGTTGCATTTGCAGGTCCTAGAAGTCAAAAAATAAGTATTGATATGTTAATAGTAATAAAAAAACTACCCAGCAGAGGAGCAAGAGAACAAATGCTCTTGAAAGAGTCTGCTCTAGTTTCAAGTAGGATGTGGATAAGCACTGGCCAAGAGACTCGCATCCAAGTATCAGCTGAAGATGCCCCATGGGCATTCTGGGCTGCACACATTTCCCATGGTCTTTAAAAAGCTTTGAAAGACCTTTATGAGGTCTTCTTTAATCTGCATGTTCCTGGTCAGGGACTCCAAATCTGCAGCCTGCACCTGCATTTCTTCCTCTTGCACAGCCACCATGGACTGCAGAGCAGACAGTTCCATCTGGGAGGAGAAGAAATCCAGAAGTCAGTGGGCAGCAGAAACTTATCTGTCGCATTTACATTTTTAACATCAGGGCAAATGCTTTTATATCACTGATGAAAAAATTATGGAATATCTCCATTTGGCAACCCTTAATGAATAAGGAACTGAGCAGCAACAGCTGCTAACATCACAAGAGATCAGCAAACAATACATGCCTACTAATGGAAGAACATGCCCCCACCTGTGAAGAAATATTACCAAAAGCTAGCACTTCATGCTCTACATTTTCAGGGTTATATCTTCCATGCCTCACCAGAAAATGACAAATACTTGACTGTGACAAAGTTCATTAAAAATCACCAGACCAGGCATGGTGGCTTACATCTATAATCCCAGCACTTTGGGAGGCCAAGGGGAGAGGACTGCCTGAGCCCATGGGTTGGAGACCAGTCTAGGCAACTTGGTGCGACCTCATCTCTACAATTAGCTGGACGTGGTGGCGCACGTCTGTAGTTCCATCTACTTGGAAGGCTGAGGCGGAAAAATCACTTGAGCCCAGCAGGCTAAGGCTGCAGTGGCTGTGAGTGTGCCACTGTACTCCAGCCTGGGTGACGGAGTGAGACTCTGACTCAAAAAAAAAAAAAAAAATCATTACAATAACCATAGCTGCTAATAACATTTACCAGATCCTTACTGTGTCCCCAGCCTGTAACAAATGCTTTGCATACGCCTCACCCTTTGAACAAACGCAGTGGTCTGGCTCCTGCCTCCTTCTCCCGCTTCAGCATCTGCCACTGTCCTCCTCATTCGTGACTCTGTAGGCACACTAGACTTTCTCTGTTCTAGGAACACTAGAATTCCTCTTGACGCAGGGCCTTTACAACCATTACTCCCTCTGCCTAAAATATCTTTCCCAGGGCTGCCTCCTTCTCATCCTTAGGTCCCGGCTTACATGTCATTTGATCAGAGTGATCGGAGAAACCTTCTTTGGCCATCCTAAGATGGACCCATCCAGGTTACTTTCCCTCATATCATTTCCCTCATATCACTTAAAATAATTTATAATTATAACATTTATATATTTGTTTACTGTCTTTATCTCTCAAGTACAAATCAATGACATAAGAACAGGGACCTTATTATTATTATTATTATTATTATTATTATTTTGAGTCAGAGTCTCACTCTGTTGCCCAAGCTGGAGTGCAGTGGCATGATCACCGCAGCCTCAAACTCCTGGGCTCAAGTGATTCTCCAGCCTCAGTCTCCCAAGCAGCTAGGACTACAGGCATGCACCACCATGCCCAGTTAACTTTTTTAATTTTTTGTAGAACTGAGGTCTTGCTATGTTGCCCAAGCTGATCTTGAACTCCTGGGCTCAAGCAATCCTCCTACGTTGGTCTTCCAAAATGCTGGGAATACAGGAGAAAGCCACTGTGCCTGGTGAGACAGCAACCTTATAAGTTTTGTTCATTACTTCATTCCCCAGCACTGGTCCTGGCTTAGAGAAGGCACCCATATATTTGATGAATTAATGAATAAATGAGTGAATTCTCACAATAATCCTATGAGATAACTACTCTTCAATTTACAAATGAGATGACAGGCTGAGAGAAGTTAAGAAACTTGTTCAAAATCAGAGTCAGTAAGTGGTAGATCCAGAATACGAATTCAGGGAAGCAGATTCAGAGCCACTGAGCTATCCTGTCTTTTCTGTAGATACTGCACATATCTACAGAATGTATGCACAGTCCTGGTGGTAATGGCAAGTTATTTTAAGTAAACACTTAAAAGGTATTTCAAAATAATTCAAAATATTAGGTGTGACAAATGAAAACATGGTGCACAAGCTAGTTTAAGGTATAACCAAACCTCCTAAAAGCAGCAGCACCCTTTCCCTTAATATAAGCAGATTCAGTTAAAAGCAAAAAAAATTTCACTTGTGTTATCTTCTAAGTCCATCAGTGCTTACAGGATGTTTGTGTGGGCTCACACTGTTTTACAACTAAACTAAGTGGTTTGATGGCTCTGGGCTACTGTGGCCAGTGAGAAGCAAATGCTTCTCCTAACATTTGTTTCCATGTTAAAGGTGCTCAGCTAGGATAACTCCTGACTTTTCTCTACGCCTTTACTCACTCAGCCCCAGGCAGACAGAGGGACTTACCTTCCCAGCACGGACTGGAAGGATAAACCTGGCGGGGCTGACTGAGTCCCAGCCCTCCTCTCCTTGGAGACAGCTGCCTGCAGGAAGCCTGTTTTCACTCCCGCTTCCCCATGGGCAGGCTCTGCCCTGAGCCTGGGCAGGCAAGTCTGCCTAATTCTGGAGACTGACCGGCAGGCCCAGTTGACGCCGGCATTAAGTTTACGGCCTAAAGTCTTTACCAGTGATCAAGTTGGTAAGCTATCAAACTATCTGCTACTCTTTTGATTTCTCGATTTGTTCAAATTCAGGTATGAGAAAAGAGGGGCTACTCATTGGGCCCTCTCGAGAGACTTCTATTATTATATATGCAGATATTTGCTCCTGGAAAATCATAAGAAAGAAAACATTCCTGCAGCATAACAAAGGTCTGCAGTCAGACATGGCACTTAAATCTTGGCCTAATCTCCTCCACAAGGCATTTAAACTCCATTTCCTCACTGTAAAAAGGGGATAATATCTACTTTCCAGAGATACATGAGAATTACAGAAAATATATTTAAAGTGCCTGGCACATAGCAGGGAATCAATGAATGGCAAATACTACTACCTACTATAACTATACTATCTCAAGATAGCTAGAAGAGTGTTTAAAAATATGGGAAAACCTACGTAGCTTTTGGTGGATGCTTAATATTAGAGTGAGTGTGATCATCAATATACATGGCACTGGACTTAGGGGTGAACGGCTTATTAAGGATACGTTCAGGTAAGCAATAGCTAAATATCATCTACTCAAAATACCCACTCAGAGGCATTATAATTTCTGAAAACAGGGAAGAACCAAAAAATAACATTACTCTGATGTTGGTATATATGAGAAAAACAGGAACAGCACGTGGAAACTAAAATACTTGACATAAATAACCAGAAAGTAGAACCAAAAAAAAAGAAAAGGGGAACTAGGGAATTTTTTTTAATGCACACTACTCTCATATCTTCAAAACTAATTGAGTCATATAATGTGTCTATTTGTAAGGAGAACTACAATAATGAAATTAAGAGGAAATAAGATAAATTCCATCACAAATATAAACAGAGGTTTTCTATTATAGATCTAATTATGGCAAAGAAGTAGAAAAAACTGAGGAGCTATATAGACTACTTAGCTACACTTAACTTAGGAACCCATGACATTGGCCGATCTTCCAAAATAGATGCCATAGTAAGAAACTTTTTTAAGTTTTAGTCTGTAACTCTTTGCTATGGCCCTAATATTTCTTGTACATCACAGCTGGACATACAACTGGCTGTACAGAGAAGGCAGAGGAGAAGGATTCTGTCAGGCTAAGAAGCCTCTTCTAAGAAAATGCATGAAAACTCTACTGCTAGAGAGAGTTAAAGTATACGGTGGGAAAAATTATCTACTCTAGGAAACAACTTCTTAGGAAGTATGTGAAGTCACAAAGGCTTAATTTACTTCTTAAATTGGCATTTACTATTTTTTGACTATTCCTCACACCCATGTTAAAAAAAGTATTTCAGTCTCTTCATATGTAAAATAGAGCCAATATGTGTACAGTTGTGTGCTTTAGCACCAATTTAACTACCTAAACACAGTGCACTGCATATAATGAGTATTGAAAAAACACTGATTATATTCAGATTTCTCATTTCATGTTTCTAAAACCAATTTCATGTCTAGTGTCATAATTATAAGCAACAATTACACAGCATTTCCTTTTTCACCAGTGTTTTAAAATTATTTCATTCCAGTTATCAATGGGTAGAGAGAGCTGTGTTTTAGTGCTAAAAAGTTTTAATGGTTCCCATTGTAAAAACAAGAGCATCTTGTTGAGGCAATGTATATATAAAATGATTCATATTTTTCTCCAAAAAGAAAAAAGGCATACCTTGCATTGGGATTCAGATATTATACACTTTTAAACAAAAACTATTTTGAAAGAAAAAAATTAGAATTTAGAAGTTAGGCTTGACTAGAAAACTCACCTGACTTTCTCGTTCTTTCTTAGCCATGAGTTCAAGTTCCTCTTTGGCATTACTCAGTTCTTTTTCCAGACCTGCAACTGTGTCCAAGTCTCCTAAAATGAACACATGGTGCTAGTTTTAATCACTTTTAATATAATGTGATCTCTTGCTGCCTCATTTCTGAGGAATTTATTGGGGAGACATTCTAGCAATTAAAAAATAAAAACATATGCACAGGTTGTTCTTTGCAGCATTATTTGTAATAGCAAAATACTGCAATCAACCTATATGCCATAAAAAAACTGAATAAACCATGGTATTGCACACAATGGTACTGCATACAGCTGTAAAAAAGGATAAAGGGCCGGGCTCGGTGGCTCAGCCTGTAATCCCAGCGCTTTGGGAGGCTGAGGTGAGTGGACTGCCTGAGCCTGTGGGTTCGAGACCCACCTGGGCAACTTGGCGAGACCTCACCTCTACAATAATCAAAAGTTAGCCAGGCGTGGTAGCACATGCCTGTAGATCCAGCTACTTGGAAGGCTGAGGCAGAAGGATCACTGGAGCCCAGCAGGTTGAGGCTGCGGTGGCCGGGAGCACGCCACTGCACTCCAGTCTGGGTGACAGAGTGACACTCCAACTCAAAAAAAAAAAAGAAGAATAAGGAAGATCTTTATGAACATATATGAAGTGATTTGAAGTGATTTCAAGGACACATCAAGTAAAACAAGATAGATACAAAAGAACACATCTAATGTAGTATGTTTTATATTGGGAAGAGGGGAATTAAGAGCAAATACATATATATCTGATGTACACAAATGATTCACTTGCTTATTTTACAAAAAGATACAGAAGAAGAATAACCCAGGAATGAAACTGGATACCTTCAGGGGATGAGTGTGAACATGAGAAAAGGGAGAGAGAAGTAGATTGGACTTCTGAGTATCTTTTTACATATTTTGAGTTTTGAACTGTGTTAACATTTAATTTTTAAAGTTAGTTAATAGTTAAAGTTAGTGTGAGTTAGTTTGACAATATGGGGAGAAAAAGCCTAAAATTAAATACTAACATAAATGAATCTATATAGCATATAGATAATATAATCACCCACAAGATAATACCAAATTAATCTAAGTAAGTTTTGAATTCAGTACTCTAACTGTATATTTTCAGTAGGAAACAACATAAGGATAAAAAGAATTACAAAGAAATCTCAAACATTACTTAATGGATTTATTGTAGATAGTACTATTAATGTAGCAATTCTGAAATTATTTTTACATATAGTAGTATTCTAAGTATATTGATGCTTTAAGTAACCAGAGCTCTCAATGTAGGGAGAAGTGAGATACAAATACAAAATGAAGGAAAGAAAGAACCTCTGTCATTAAATTGAAATTAGAGAAATCAGTATAAAAATCATTTATTGTATTATATGTGTACACATAGTTTTAAAAAAAATTCATTACTAGCTCTGTTAACTTAAAAGAGTCTGGAAGCAAATAACGTTCACACAGCAACGAACACACCTTGTGCCCCACCGTGGTTTATAAAGGTCTTCACCCACCAAAAGGAAGCAGGGAGTTCTGTGGCTGGGGGAGGTAAAAGAAAAGGTCCTCAGAGAACATCTTACTGTGCCAGAAACTACGAAGTTCTCAAAAACGAATGGGGAAGTAGAAAAAAGGTGAAAGGAATAGCTTGAAGGGGCTCCCAATGACCAAATGTGGGATAATTTGAGCTTCAGATGAAATAATGACAGAAATGGACAATATGATGATTTTTTAAAAATTCGTATCAATACAAACAAATACAGTAGGGAAAGGAGGACAGCTCTTCTTTACAAAAGAATCCCACTCATAAATAAAGAAGAAATTTCAGAAATAGAACTCACTTTTTTAAACCACTAATGTAAGAGTTGGTTCAGTCAAGGCTCAAATGATATTAAAACCACAGAATAAATGACTGTTGGAAAACAGACTGTCAACATCACAGTCAGTACATCACTTATTAATTAATGAAGGCAAAGTGAACTTTTTACAACAGAGAGATCTGATATAGACCTTAACCAAATGACTGAACTCAGTATCACCAAGGATGATACACACTGATTTTCATGCCCTGATGTGATGCACTGAGAAAGATGTCACCCACGTAGTATTCCTGCCAGAAATGCAGTACTTGCTTCTAACCATGTGAAAATAATCAGAGCTAAATTGAGGATCATTATCTGGCCTGGATTCTTCAAGAATGCCAATGTCACAAAAGACAACAAAAAACAGCTAGACAACTGTTCTAGATAAAAGGAAACTAAAGAGACATGGCAACTAAACAATGGATGAATCTTGAGGGAAATAAACAAAGTAGCCACAAAGGACATTATTGAAAATGGACTGTGTTAGATACCAAGACTATATTAAAGTTAAGTTTCCTGAGTATGATAATTATATTGTAAATATATAGGAGAATTCCCTTGTTCTTAGGAAATACTTACTGAAGTACTTGTGAATAAAGTGCTATGATGTCTACAAGAAGTTATCTAATAGTTCAAAAAAATTGCATATGTATAAATGTAAAAAAGTAAAGCAAATATGGCAAAATGTTAGCTAGTGAATTTAAGAAAAATGTATATAGGAATTCATTATACTATTTTTGCCACTTCTGTAGGTTTGAAGTTTCCAACCTAAAAAACTGGAGAAAAGGGCCAGGCTTGATGGCTCATGCCTGTAACCTCAACACTTCAGGAGGCTGAGTCATGAGGACTGCTTGAGCCCAGGAGTTTCAAACCAGCCTGGACAACGTAGAAAGACCTCATCCCTACAAAAAAAATCAAACAATTCTTCAGACGAGGTGGCACGGGCCTGTAGTCCCAACTACTCCAAAGGCTGAGGAGGAAGGATCCTCTAAACCCAGGAGGTCGAGGCTGCAGTGAGCTGTGATTATGACTGCCTAGGCAACAGAGTGAGAACTTGACTCAAAAAATTTAAAAAACGAAAACTAGAAAAAGGTATATATTTTTTAAAAAGGCAAATAGGGAATAAATTGACTCCAACATTCTTTACTCTTTGACTAGTATAAAGTTTTCCTATTAGAGGGTGATTGACTACGTTTAAGACTTCTCTTTGAACTCTCTAATTCCCTACACCGTAACATAGACACAAAGTTTCTGCATTCTTAATATCAATTAAACAACACAAGTTAATTCTCCAAGTCTATTATCTTTCTTACCACAGCACTATAATCATCACCTCATCAATCATCATGAGTCCCCAGTTCTGGAATGCCCTGGGAACATCTTCCTTGAAGCTATACTAAATAGCAACCTTTTGCTCTGTGGAAGTCAGAGACTCCAATCCAGTGTATCCACTTGAGTTTTGCTCCTAGCACGCTTAGAATCCAATCGTCTTTAGGGAGTTCAAGGCCTACAACAATCACTTTCATCGGGATGATCTTGGCAAATAACTCAAGGTACACTGCCTGTCTCTCCTAACACTTTAATGCAGGTGATATCAAGTTGCAATGAGTAGCTACAGCCTTGAAAGACCCCGAGGAAAAGGCAGCAGCCTCATGATCCTGTTGTGTAAAATCAGAAGCACTATTTCCCTGCATTTCTGAATCCCTACAAAACTTTCTGAAAAGGAGAATCAGGATGCCGTTTCCCTGGGCCAAATGGCGAACCCAGAGCAATCACTTTAATGCAACGTAAGGGCAGGTCTTCCTAGAATAGACATGTCTCAGTCTTCCAAAGAAATCCAAACTTCTTCTTTCAACTAAGATAGGAAGAGACAGTCTTGGCAAAATCTATTAACACAGAGATGCAGGGAGGAAAAACAGACGGTCCCTTCATGAAAACAAAATTTGACACTTACCTAATGTGGACCTGGGCATGCTGACATCCTCTTTGGTAGTCAGTGAAGTGCTACCATCTCTGGAAGGTAACTGCATTGAACCCTAAAAATTAGAAAAGTCGAGGATTTAGGAAGATGCAGGAACTATGATCACAACAGGAATGGGAATATCCTTATACAATTTGGTGCTGAAATTATCAAACTTATACCTCAAATGTAAAAAGGAAATGCAATCAGCATGAATATCTGAGTCGATAGTTCTTACTTGATCAGTCTTTTCTCCACGAGAAGGGCAAATGGAGGTTACTTCAGCTTGCTGGTTAGAGATAAATGTTTGCGACATCATGAAGTCCTTCCCTCCTAAATACTGACGCAGGGCTTTTAATTCTGAATTTTTCTCCATTAGGGCTTGTACCATCTTCTCTGCAGCAGCCTAGTAAGGAAATCACAAATAACATTAGAAAGACACTATAGTAAAACTAAAAAAAAATTTGTGTTTTGGTATTATATCTTCACAGTCAACTATGTATAAAAACCTAATGCATCTGTAAGTAGTAGTTCCCTTGCTTCTGGTTTATGGGGGGAAAAAAGTCAAGAATGGAAACAAAGCCTTTTATAGACAGAATATTGGGAAAAAATCTGAATATAATGCATCTCTCACAGATGAGAGAGCCTGAAGTAGGTTCTGCTGGAACTGTCAGGCCAAGGTGTTGAGCTGGCTTGAATTAGGATAACAGATGTCTTTTTTTATTCCGGGATAGTTATGTCTTTAGCCTGGCTTGCTCCTCACTCAAACATTTGTATGGTTTGCTGCCTTAGGATCTTTGCTAAATGTCATCTTATCAGACTGGCCTTCCCGGTATATCCTATCTAAAACAGCAATCTTGTTGGTCAAAGGGTACAAACTTTCAGTTATAAGAGAGTATGTTTTGGGGATCTAATGTACAGGATGGTGACTACAGTTAATAATACTGTACTGTTTACTGGAAATTTGCTGAGAGAGTAGATTTTAAGTGTCTTCACCACACACACAAAATGGTCACTATGTGTGATGACAGATGTGGTAATTAACTTGGCAATCATTTCACAACATATGTGTATATCAAAGCACCATGCTGTACACCTTGAGGATATACAAGTTTTGTCAGTTATACCTCAGTGAAGCTGTTGAATGAATCAATTACACAGATAAACATTTCTATCAGACCACATGATCATTGGACTCTGAACCGCAAGATCACCAAACTCAGTTTGTTTCACTTCAATTCCCAGTTTTCTAAGATGATTGGTACAATAAGGGAAAGATCTAAAACATTACTTGTAACCATTGTTGCACAGAAAATCTGCATTTAAACAGAGAATCTGGAAATGAAAAATACTAAAACTACTGAGGGTATAAGATGATGAATCAAAGCTATATTAGTTATATCATAACATCAACTGTCTCTGGAAAGATTACTACTATTAGAAGCTGAGCTCTTGTCATATTTCTAAAAAATAAAAATAAAAAGGTTCCACTTCCAGTAGGTAAAATCTGGGCTCTTTGGAGATTTGGACATAACCATTCTAGAGGTATTAGTATGTTGGTAATGTGTCTTCATAAAACTCTCTGTGAAAACGAGGGAAAAAGCATAAGCAGTACCATGCCAGATAGAGATTGCACTCTACCTGGCTGGATCCTTTTCCTAGTAGCCCTGGTTTTAACTGTCCTCCTTCACATGTGGTCAAGGAGCCAGCAGCATCACTATCACCTGGAAACTCATTAGAAATGCAAATTCCTGAATCCCACCTACACTTCCTAGCTTCTATCTCTGGGGGTGAGCTCAGAAATCTACGTTTAAAAAAAAAAACTATCCAAGTGATGCTTTTGCATGCAAAATTAGAGTTGCAGATCTAGAACCCAACCCTACTGCTCTTGAGTTGAAAATCTCTTGTGATTTCCATCATCTCTAGGTTCCATAATTTTACTAAGTGTATAATATCTTTTCAAATAATTCTTTCAAATCAAAACTCAAAGATGTCAGTCTCTTGCTAAATAATTAATAGAAGCAATTTCTAAAGCACATGGCAGGACAATTCTACCAAAATGTGTTTCTACTTCAGTAAGCCCAACAATTAGAAGAGTGAAATACAACCATTTCATAGTATAAGGAAACATTAGAAAGCATTACAGTCAAATAACATAGGCATACAAGAATCCAGCTTCCTCTAAAACTTCACTAGAAACATTCTGAATTACTGGTCCCTGAAATGCAGCACCAGTCAACTAACAGTCTTCAGGCTTGAGGAAAAAGACATACAGAAATGAGGGAAAATTAAAAATTCACGTCTGAAGTAGTTGTGTATCATAATCTTGAGATTAATATACCTCATATTATTATAAGATTATTTGTTCTCATAACGACCTTTGAAAAATACAATCTTTTTCCTGTTAACATAACTCAGATTTTATAAGAATTAAGAGAAGATATGTTGAGTATAAGTTTTTCTATATCTTGGCCAGACATGCAAAAAAAGGAAAAATTCATTCAAGTCTTGGCAATTTAGAATCAAAATAAAAAACTGCAGAACTCTTCATTCTTTCTCTCAAAATGATCACATTATCAAAGAAAAGAAAATGTATTGTAATCAAGTTAGTGGATACACGTATTGTTTAGGCACCCTTTCAAATGCAAAGTGTTCAAAAACATTTCATACGCTGAGGATCAATGTAAAATATACACATAGTTAATAAATTGAAGGAAAGATACTAACAGAGGTCACTGTAAAATGATATAAATATATACACATGGTAAGGTTCAAATGCTTCCTGTTTGCAGACTATAAATGATATAAGTGATACTTTTCTGGTCTGTGCATTCTCCTTACTTGGCTTTCCTGCTCCCTGGTACTCATAGACTGAAGCAGGCCTTGAATCTCCATTTCATGTTCCACAGCTTGTTTGTTTCGATCACTTAGAAGGTCCTGCAACATCCTTTCCTTTCGCTGTAGACGCTGACACAGCTCCTCTGCTATCTCACTCTGCCCTGGTCCAAGTTTGCAGAGCAATGTTGCACTAAGGTCCTAATACAGGAGGGACAGTGTAAGTTTTTGGAAAAAAGAGTTGTCTCCAATTCATATCAAAGGGCTAATAAGGATCTATTGTAGAAAGGAACTGTGAGATTCTTGAGACCAGTATCATGTTTCACTCATTTTCCCAGATCTAGCACAGGCCTGGCTCACAGAAGGCTATAAATCCACATTCAGGAAATGAATATTAACCATACAGAAAAACACCTTCAGTGGCAACCTAAATACTGTTTTCTGAAATAAGTACATTTCCTATTTGTTCAGGGCACATAACAATTAACATTAGATGAAGATAAAGGGACACTCAGTTCATTTAGTTTCTCCCCAGTGTAACTTTACATTGGTAGCACAAAACGAAGAGGTGAAGAGGCATAATGAACACTGAACTTATCAGCATGGTGATAGTTTCCATTACTGTACTGAGAAACAGTACATGGTGACTGAGCCATACGGCCCAGGCTGAATACAGGCTCACCCACTTAATAGCTATGTGACCTTGGACAAGTTACTTAGCTTCAGAAGCCTGTTTCCTTGTCTGCAAAACAGGGATAATGCTTGTGAGGATTCAACAGGTTAATGTCCACTGAGCTCTCAAAACAGTGCCTGACCAAGCAGGAGCACTGTAATTAATAAGGCTAACTACTATATTGTATGTGTATTTTTTAAGGTTGTGTTAGTTTTATAACTTTCAAGGTAACTGCCATCTGAAGTTTACAGGTGTGAGGAAAAAGTCCCAGTGAAAGTCAGTGACTTGCCCAGGCACAGAAGAGAATAAAAGACTTGGGTCACTGGCCTCCCAGACCTCAAGGGCACTGAACCACAGCTGAGATCACATAGTCACTAAACCAACAATTGCCTTCAAGTTAACTGAAGTCTTGCCTCCACTTCTTTGTTCCTGTCATGCAGAGATGTCTGTAACTGCTGAATGATACTCTCTTGTTCCTTCTGCCAATGGCTACATTTGGCTTCCATTTCTTCTTTCAGCCACTGGAGGTTTTGACAGGTAGTAGATAACTGTTCCACTTCCAGACCTTTGGCCCTCAGGAGACTCTCCATACTCTACAGTCACAGAGAGAGTGACCATAAGTCAAAGGGTCACTCCACACTCCTCAAGATAAACAAGAAATGAGATCCACCTTTAAATGATCTCCTACCAACATTTTTTGCAAGAGGAGAAAACTTAGCAATGCAACAATCTATTTTTTATTTTTAGAAACTCTTACCTAGTTTGTGGAGAGATAAGCATAGAGTACATGATAAAATGAAGTATTCTGGAGGAAGTACACTATGCTACAGAGAAAGTGAAGGGCATCTTTAAAAGGTAGCAGATGATTAGATATATAAGCTCTAAAATAAGTACGCAAAAAAGCCCACAGTAAATGTTAATAAAATGGTGTTCAGATTATGGTAATACATGGACATGCATATAATACAAATGAGGAAAGCACAATACATATTTGCATCCTAACAATGCTTATGTAAAAGTGTGTGTGTGTATCTATGTATATATAAACAAATATTAGAAATACATTTAAACTACATAAACAGAAATGAATATTCACGGCCTTCCATGAGAAGCTTACAATATAAAAGAAAGAAAAAGTACTGCAACTTCTCATTTTCTAATCTACAATGACAGAACTAGTGACTACTGTTTTTGTCTATGACTTTTCCCCTTATAAGGCAAATATCCTTGTTTTCAGAAAATGATGGAAGAGGCTCATGCTTAGGCTCAGGCTTAAAATACAAGTGGGAGAGGAACAAAAAGTCAACAGCAGCTTTGCTCTTACTTGTATGGTGGCTTCATTGGAGGAAAGGACTTCACGCAGTCTCTCTAAGTCGTGATCTCGCTCTCTCACAGCAAGGTGAAGCTGACGCAGTTCTTTATCCTTTTCTTCTAGAGCAGAGAATTTTTCATCTATAGTCCGCTGCAAGGAAAGCAAGTTTCCTAAAGCTCCATAAGATTCACTATCCTTACACTCTTATTATTAACAAGTATGATTCCAAATATGAAAGAATAAAAAAAACCCCAAAAGCAGCAGATTAAGTACACACACATGTCTAAAACATCAGTGTAGACAGAAAAATCCACAGTGTGGTGGGCAGCATTATGACACATACCTCAAGAGCAACAGCTCTATCTTGTATTCGCTGCCGAAGTTTTTCAAGCAACGTTTCATTTGCTTCAAGGGTTTTGTCTGGGTTACCTCGATACTGTAGGAGCTCCTGAAATTCCTGAGACCACAAAAAAGTTTCCTTTACTTATCTAATATGAACTAAATCCCTACACTTTGTCAAGTAACTTGTCAGTGAGGAAAAAAACAAAGTGTGATCACTCTCCTCACAGAAACAAGTCTAGCAGAGATGCAGTTAACTATTCTGCAACACACAACATGCACAACACAAAATTAACTATTCTGCAAAACATGCAAGCGCCTAGGCGAACACAGGGTGCATTGCCTAACTCTGTCTGCAGGTATCAGTAAAGACCTCACATAGGAGGAGACATTTGCACTGAATTTTAGAGTAGGAGTTCCCAAGGGAAGAAGTGTATCTATCAGAGAAACATCCACGCACAGCATATACATACTATGAAAAAACCGTTCACCCAGTGAAATGTAAGGGATTCCGTGTGACTGAGGCTTAGAGTAGGTGGTAGAACTGATCAATCTATTCCTAGAACTCCATTTTCCTCTAAAGCTTTCATTTTATCATCTAAATTCCGCTGTGGAAGTTTCTGTACCTACTAAACTAACAGCAGTGGCCAAATTTCTGCCTTCCCAACACCCATCATGATGTCTGACTCACAGAGGTGCTTAATAACGCTTTTCTAAATATTTACCACTTAAGTCTTTCGGGTCTATATGTGCTGCTTCTTCCACTTGTTAGCACTTAATTCACAAATCATATTTCCTACTTATTTTAAATGCTCCTGATTCCCACCTCTCAATGGTCTACATGGAGCAGGTGCGCAACACAGGTAGATTAATACTTTGAGATTCTATGAGCAGAAATTTCTATGAGCCCAGTTTTCATTGAAACATGTAAACACACCTGAAGCAGCTGCTCTTTATGACTCAGACTATGGTTTAGATGCTGAATGTTTTGTTCCTGGGTTCGAATCTCATTGTATTTTTCAGCCTCCAGAGTACGAAGCTGTTGGTTCTTATTCTGCAATTCTTCTTGTAGGTGCTTCAAGGCTTTTCGCAATTCCTGAATTAAACATATTAACTTAAATTTTAAAGCAATCTAAAATTTTCACATGGTCATTAGATATAAAGGTCTTCAAAATTTCAAGGCAAATAAAATGAAATATAAAGTAGCTATAGAAACATTATACATTAATCAACTAAAGTGAGGAGAAAAACTGTGAATGTAGGTAGACATAAATTTAATATTATAGTTCAATATTTATTTTTTGGTTTAAAAAGGAAAGATCTATATAACCACTATGCAGGACTCTGTCCCACTGCAAACCTGGATCCTTTGCTTTACAATAAACTCAAAGAAAGAATATTTCTACCTTCCTTTTTCTAAAGAACTCACAAACAATATCACTTATCTTTCTTAATTTGCCATATATAATACTTTTCTAATAATAAAATCAGTAATCTTTAAACCATCTGTTACTTTATACAGCCCCCAAAACACATATTCTAACTAAACAAAACTTAGGAAAATGTTTCCTTTAGGTAAATAACAAAAAGGTAAGAATTATTTCTACTTCCACCATCTCCCAACCTTGCCAAAACATCTGAAATTTTAATATTCCTAAAGGAAATTCAGGACTAATATCTAATCTCCAAACTACAAAGCAAGGGAGATCCTTCAAAAACTACACTTTTAAATCTGAGAATTAAAGAGCCTAAAGAAAGAAACCACAAAAAAGATTTTTTTAATCTTAAAAAAAAATATGCTCTAAGCTAACAAGATAAAGCAAATATTGAAGAATTATGTTCTTTATTTTAAAAAATGCATGGCTAAATGTGCATGCTTTGTCCTTCCCCATTGTTCTGTCTGGCCGACTTTGACCCAACCTTCAAGAATAACTTCAGGTAACTCCTCCTTCATATACTTTTCTGATTCCCTTTCTCAGATACTCCTGTAGAATCCCATACATACATCCCCTTCAATATTTACCACACTGAAACTCAATTTATGTGACTGCCTCTCATACTAAACTATAAATAACTTAAAAGGAAGGAGATTGTGATACTCACCCTTGTATTTCTGAAACACAACTCAGTACAATAGTCCCCCTGATCCACAGGGAATACGTTCCAAGACCCCCAGTGAATGCCTGAAGCTGGGGAGAGTACTGAACCCTGTATATATTATGTTTTTCCTAAACATGCATATTACATACCAACATATGATAAACTTTAATTTATAAATTAGGCATAGTAAGAGATTAAAAACATTAACTAACAACGGAAGAATCATCACAATATACTAATGAGGCTTACGCAAAGGTGGTTTCTCTCTCTCCCAAAATATCTTAATATTTCAGACCATGGCCGACTGCAAGTAACTGAACCCATGAAGGGTGAATGCATGAATGAGAGGGGCTGCAATCTATGCCGTGGCAGTCCGTGGCATAAGGTACAAGGGCAACAGCGCTGAACAGAATTGCTTAGGTTAAGCAAGTGACTCGAGGGTTCAATCCAAACGGTCCCGCTAGGAAGTTATTATCAGGGCAAAGTCAGCATTTAGGGCTGCAGAATGGTTAATGATTTACCTGGTTATGTCTCCAAGAAGCCTCTTTCTGCTGTTCTCTCTCATGTGCTGCAGCCTTTGCAAACTGCATGTGTCGTTTGGCGTCGACCAGCTGGCGTTCTTTCTGACGCACCATCCTCTGGAGCTTCTGTATTTCGAGCTGGCTGCAGAATAAAGCACTCTGAAGATCAAGCAGAGCCACCTGCTGCTGAGCTGGGGAAGTCCCCTCTGTACTCTGAAAAGAGGAGAAGTGACAGTCACAAAAGGGAAGCACTGAGCACCTGAGAGACTATGGAAGTGCATTCAAGGCTGAAACCAAGAACGGCACATCCCCAGCGGAAGCCTCTCCTCTCGTCCCAGGCAACCCTCACATACGTGAAGTTGTCCCAGCTGGCTCTGGTGCAGCATTTCTCGGAGCTTTGACATTGTGTCATTTTGACCTTCAATCACCTGGTACAACTCCTCAGTCTGAAAACGACAGAGGGAGTAATAAACATGTTAGTAAGCCAACTATAAATTCCATTATCTCACCTGTACAGAATTCAGTAACAGGACTATTCCAAAATACATTTAGGTTAAGCTACAATTTCTCCAGGCTAAGTTAGTCTCACAACATCAATTTCAACAAAATATAAGGTCCCTGTCTACTCTGATGGGACCAGTCATTTCCCACAGGAATGATTCCTCCTTGCTAAATATTTTACCTCACTTTCCCTGCTTTTCAGAGTTTCCTTGAGGTTCTGAATTGTGCCATCTTGCTTCTGAGACGACTCCTGAGCAAACTTCAGCTCACAGGTCATTTCATTAAGTTTCTCTTGAAGAATCTGAATTCAGCAAAGAAAAACAGTCTTTTAGGTCAGTGATGTCTTTTAACCATAAATGCATAGTCTTTCCTCAAATCTAGGGTGTGAAGGATTTCTCAGGGGATACTATGTGTTATTTTTCCCATACACAGAGACCTTTAAAGTCCTAAGTCAATCAGCAACACAAACTAGCAGAAAAAATGAAATACTTCCTTCAATATTCAATCGCCTCAATCGGCATGCACCGTGCTTTTTCTATGATGTCAGCCATACTACGTACTTGTCCACCTGGGCCACTGTGGATCCCTTACACAAAGACCAAGGACCTTCTGACATCTAGTATAGTACAGAACACTAGAAGGATCACCAGGCCAGAAGTTCAGCAGCCCGAATTGTGGCCACTTCCTTCTGAGCAGAAATTAGAATTAATGGGCTATAAAGGTATAACAAAAAAGTCAAAAACACAAATCCCTTTAGTGCTTTTTATAGTTAAAGGCGGCATGCAACTTTTAGTCAAAAACCTGGAAAGCACAAGAAATTATGATCTGTGCAGAACAAGCCAAAATCTTGATGAAAAATAAAGGGAAGATCTACATATGCCTGCAAATGAAATATTTCCTAGAGCACTAGGAGTACACAGTGTTCACCTCCCAGGTCCAATGTAGGTTAACAGACTCAGCCTAGAGTTAGTCACCCCCTCAGGAAAAACCTGTTATCTCAAAGGGCATAGTATTGATCTTACCTTGTTGTTGGCCTCTGTTTGCTGCATTTTTTCCTGGAGTTCTGCCAAGTGGATTTCAGATACAGACTGCTGAGTTGTAGGGGTCTCACTTGAATTCAGTTGGTTTTGGAGCAACTCTTTTGTCATGGGCTAGGAAGAAACAGCAAGACAAGGAAGTTGAGTTAAACACAGGAAACAGAAAGTTTTACTTTTACCTTCAAATGTCTGTGGCATCTTTTGCTAGAGAAGTAGAAAACCAAGGATGCTTCAAGAATTATCAGTATGAATTCCTGAAGACAGACCTGTGCCTTATTAAGAGCACTCAATCACCCCCATTCTAACTATGCTCCCCAAACATCTCGATATATTTGAAATTATCGCAAAATAAAAACTAAAAATAAACTTAAAATATATATGCCTATTTAAAGGTAGATTTACATCATAAGCCTAAATGATTCATAGTGGTTTGGAAAGGGGATATGTTTTACAGGAATATCAATTCACTAAAAATTTAGATTTAGGAGGAAAAAAATGTACTATCTGCACATGGGACAACTGATCAGACTAAGATACACTTACTGAACTGTATACCTAAGAATCATTATGAGCTAAGGGTGTTAAAATACAGTTTTAGGAATTTATTATGGCACTAAATTTGATCTCCTCCCCATATCCTCTTCCACTCCAATTAGGAATATAAATTCACTAGGAAAAGAAAAAAGGAAACTGTTATTCATTTTTTCCTTCCCTCACATTTTCAAACTTTAATTACTACCTTTTAGGCAGTGAAGCTGCAGTTTACCCACTGCAAGCAACTCACTGGAAGGATAAAGATTTCAGAAGAACAATCTTTTCTATGCTTCCAGTGCTAACAGAATATAGGCCTGGGAGAAAGAGAAAGGTCTATGTGGTTAGACCAGTGCTTTCTAATAGAAATATGTGAGCCATATGCATAATTTCTTATTTTTTAGCTTCATTGAACAAAATAGGAAAACTTAATTTTAATATTTTATTTAACCCAATACACCCAATATTATCATGAACATGCACATATAAAAGTTGTTAATGAAATATTTCACATAATTTTCACAGTAAGTCTTAAAAACTTGAGAGATATTTTATACTCATAGCACACGTCAATTTGGACCAGCCAGGGCTAGAGCACATTGGGCAAAGGGACAGTGACACACAGTAAGGTGGAAAAGTAGGCAGGGACCAAGTCACACAGGTGCAGTGGGGTTACTGAAGTTGGATTTCATTCTAACTGAACTGAGAATCGACTGTAGTGGTACGTGTATGCTTTTAGAAGATCGCTCAGTGGTGAACGGATACTGGGAGCACCAACAGCAGCAGTGAGACCAGCCAGGAGGCTGATGAAGCAGCGAAGGTGAAAGACAATAGCGACCTGGATTATGGCGGTCATACTGGAGAGCAAAAGAAAGGGATGGATGTGGGTATGTTCTGAAAGTCTAGTTAACCAGGCTTGCTGGTGGACTGGTCAGTAGGATACGAAGAAAAAGGATCACGACTTCCAGAAAAATTACTTGAGATACTGGTTGTTGTGAAGGGAATGTGTAAACTAGCCATCTGATCCTATTTTACATATGAGGAAACAGAACCGTAGAAAAGGTAACACAGGAAATCAGGAAAAAGACCCAACTGAACTGAATGCACTCGGGTCAGCAATGTATCTTTCATTTCCATAAACTCATTGCCTACCATAATGCCAGGAATGTTTCAGGGATTAAACAAGTAATCGTATGTGCATTTATTTTTGTTTAATGGACCAACAAGAACAAAAACAACAATAACAACACACCAAAAACAGGTCCTCCAAGGCTCTCTTAGAAATCAGACTATATATATAAAAAACACATATTTTTTCAAAATTCAACTTGAAAGCCAAAGAATGTCACAGAAAAGTACATAATAAATCCGGATCTCATCTGAACCCATCTTGGCATGAATAATCGTAGGAAACCTCTAATTCTACAAATGTAAAGTATTAACTTAGAAGTTGGAAGATACTTGTTTCTTCTGTACTTGTAATAACTTACTGTACATCTCAGAAAAATGTCCTTTCAGATAACAGTCTGCCAAAAGAGCACTTAGTAAGATCCTGTGAGTCAACAACTCATAACAAATTCTTGTACAATCGCTCTATAATGATAGCATAGCTCATGAAATAAGTAATTGGTAGAATTAGTGTTACCCTCCAGACTATCAGTTACTAAAATCATGTTGTAATGATAACATAATTTTAAATTAAGTCACTTTTGACTCAGTTAAGACAAAGGCTTTCCAGCACCAGAAAACAAAATTGTTTCCAGGCCTAACACTGCATAATGTAAAGACCTTGAGGCTAAAGGGCAATTATTTTGATTTTCTGGGTTAACAGCATTTGTCTTGGCACCTTCTAATCCTCACAGTAGTGAGTCACAGACCTCAAATAAGTACTTCTATCTTATTGTTAATAGGAAACAGACAAGAAAATATCAACTAGCATAAAATTAAAAGCCTAATCTTTGACCAGCATCTAATGCCTACACCCTCCAAAGAATCTGATCTACTTGATAAAGCTAAGCTATGAGTGGGATAAATTTACCATAGCCACAAAGGAGCGGACCTTGGCATTGCAAGGCTTGAAGCAAAGATCTTCTGCTCTTTGAATCTAGACAGAAAGGAAAATTGTACAGGGCCAGAGCTCTCTGAATTGCTGTTTAATAAGGGACCACACCCTTATCATACATAGCCTTTCTAGTTCAGGGCCAGACAATAAAGAAGAAAGTAACAGCTAGAATAAGGTTTCAAACCTTTCTTTAGTTATCTGAACAGGCTTGGGTCCTCAGACATAAATTCTGCAGAAGGCAAATAAATCACTTTTGCATAATATCAGAAAATCAGTAAGCAGGAAAACTATATTGTTATTGTTTTTCTTAAGTAAAAGAAGAGAGAGACAACACGAGTGTGTGAGCGCACAGAAAGGTGGGGAAGGGAAAGAGAAAAGGCAATCAAGAGGAATGCTGATGTTCACATTTAGTAGTATACATAATAAGGTAAGTGGAAGATTAAAGAAAGGAAACAAAATGGACCTTACAGAACAAGTTCATCCTTTAGGATTTCTTTATATGTCGTAGAATTTAACTCAAGATTTTTTTCTTTCATGTTTTTTTTTTTGGTCTCCACAAACTAAAAAAAAATACCAAAAAAGAATTTGTATTGTCTGTTTCTTGCTTTTTCATATTTGTTCAGAGAAATAGACAAAAACCAGTCTGCCATTGTCCCAGCTAGCACTGGATTTGCCATAAAGCACAACAGCTCTTAAGGAGCTTAAAAGTAACCTGATTTAAACAACAAATAGATCAGCTGTCCAAGATACACATTTTATTTACAGATACCCAGGACACAATTTAGCTAGTTTACCACAACATCCTAAATTAGAGAAAACAGTATTGTAAATAACACCACTTTCTAGAAGCCAATTGTTTTCTCCCTCCTCTCAATTTTTTATTCTTCTAGAAACAGTAAATAATGCAAGCCAAGTCAGAGCAGAAAGATCATACACTACTATTTTAAAGATCTATTGTCCAAATTTAGTGAAGTAAAGAGACTTGACCAAAGATATAGTTACCATAATTTACACATGCTCATTCATATGACAATTTTCTTCACGTAATTCCTAAAGAATCCTCCTGGAATCCTTAGGATAGAGAAAGAGGGCACTTGGTTTAGAGTAAGTACTTAGTTCAGTTGAAATACTTTGGGCAACATGATTTAATGTATAGAATTGAAGTGTTTTGGCTGAGAATGGTCAGGAATCATTGGTTCTGCATGTGCTAAGTTATTTAAAGCATGAGCATTCCACACTTATACATTGAGAGACTGCTTGATTTTTAAAATCCTTCCGAACTCTAAAATTTGCTGAGTCCAGGCACCAAAATATAGTATTTTAAATTAAATACAGAGGGGAAAAAAACCTCTTGTTTTGCCTGTAATTTTCTAAGTCTTTACATGACTTTCTACAATACTCGTCCTACTTTGGGGGGGGGGGAGTTTATTTTCCATCCCCCCTGCCCAAGACTACTTTTAGATCCTAATATGAACACACCACATTTTAATATCTAAGTCAGTCTCAGAAATATTGTAAAGTCTAAATTTAGTTGTGAGGCTCCACTGAAAAAAAGAAAGCAACAAAAAAGTATAGAAGTGTTAGGCATACAATACTTAACTTTTTATACAAATGGAAACACACAAACTTTTTTACTTTTTCTTAATATTTTCATATATGCTGTTTGACAATTTTGCATAAATTAAAAACTTTTCTGTTTTTCACTGAAGTTCTTACTGTGATATACGTTGTCTATACAATAGAATGACTTTTCAGAAATTTAATGTGACAATCAACAATTTCATTTGTTATCAGGCTCTAAATTTCTGGAAAGATGCTGACGAGTAATAGGCCTCCCAAAAATGCCTTCTAGATTGTCCACCTTTGTAATGGCATCACTAAAGAATCTGTATCTGGTGGAACATACCGGAATGTACACAAAGTTAATTGAACCTAGCATTTACTGTTGATATAGAGACAAAACAGTATCTGTCAGGGCCCTGTGAATAGCTGAATTTAAAAGGTTGGTATGAAATCAGATGGGCAGATATGAACAGCTCAGGTTAAGATCAACTGCCATCCTCCAGTCATTAAGAATTCAAACGAGTATAATGGATGAGACTCTTCTACCACGCAATAAAGGGCGAATACTTGCTTAATAGCAAATATCATCTAGTGTACTAGAAGACAAACTGCCTGTGAAGAGTTTTTGCCTTAACATTTTACTTGACAACACTGTACTTGAATTCCTTCTCTTTTATGAACAAGCCATCATTAATCCTCAAATGATCTATTAGTTATCACAAACATTACAAATACTGGCCCAGACGTTATACTATTTTACTGGTGGGTTACTAGGTTTTCCCCAAACCTTCTAGTGCTATTAGTGAGATTAAATGCCACCTTTCTATAGGATAAAAGTGAATTTGGAATCTTTGTTTTTGTCTTAAAAGGAATACAATTTTGACAGTTAACGGGAAGACCAATAGGTAATGTTACAAAAAGGATTGTGAAAAGCACATTTTCTGAGTGTGAATCACAT